TTCACTGACTGAACACACACACACACACAGACACAGAGAGAATATCGGGATCACAGAATATCAGCCTACATTACAGTATTAACAACATGGGTAAGTGCGTTTCACACGCTATTCATGTTTATAAACTTTAAGATTCATTTTTGTTTTAGGCTATATTTTTCCCACATGCATCGAGTCTACAAGAAATCTGTTTTGCATTCACTATAAAAGTTAACTTGTGCAGAAGTTGCCATGCATTTATTTATTTATGATCTGGCCTAAGTGCAACCTAACGTAAAAATAACGCTAATGCTAAATAATGATGTAATCTTAAATAATAGGCTATATTTGAATAAAGCCAGTAGACTAAATTTGCACCACTATTTTAGGTTAGGTTTATGGAGTGCACGCGTCGTACTTTAATTATTTCTCATTCATTTATTCATTAATTTGCACGCTCAATCACATCCATTAAATCCACATGTTGATTGTTTACACTAACTACTGTATTTATTTGCAGTCTTTTCATGCAATATCGTGTATACATGTTCATTTTCTATCAGTTTTATTGACTGTAGTTCTTTATCACCCCTAATGAAGCTGAGATGTTCATTTAAGCATCTCTTCTCAGTGTGAATAGTGATTAGTTTCATAGTTTGGGGTGTTTTTATGCATGTCATGATGAGTGGCGGGTGTGGTGTGTGTTTTCCTGTTTGCTGTGTGTGTGTGTACTGTAGTTTCCACATACAGTATGTAAAGGTTTCTGTGTCTCAGTGAATGAGGTTCAACAGACAGCTGTTTACATGCACTCCACTAAAAATATTTACCAATGATTAAAATAGTACACCGCCATAAATGGAAAAGTACAGCACAGAATTTCATAAGGGGAGAGTCAGAAACTCATTATTTCCCTCACCTACTCAGAAAATCTTCTTTCACTTGTTTGTTGTTCTGCTTTTCATCCGGTCACTCGTTCATTGAAGTGCAGACCGATGTTTTCGAGGCAGACAGTTCAGTCTACACACACTCTGAACATCACCAGCATCAGTCTGAAAGCTAAACAGAGGTGTGTTAGCCAGCGATGACACACACACACACACACACACACACACACACACAGATGGAGGCGGCATCTCCGACAGAGAGAAAACAGAGAACACCCCACTGCGTACATTCCCCATTAAACACACACACACACACACACTTTGTATCTGGCCTGAGACTAATTTTCTCACCGCAGGGTTGGTTTACAACATACTAAAGAGAGAAACTTGATCCGCATTCCCATGAGCCTTTGTGAACCTCTTTGTCTACTTTCAGATGTACTCCCCAAACCTTATACATTCACATCACTTAACCCAGATGTTTAATAAAGATCAATCACAATTTTGTTGGTATAATAATGATGTCATTGCAGAAATTCCATCTCATTATTACAATATTTATATATCCTAAAACCCTTCAGGGTACAAGTAAAGCACTGTTTAATGACATTATAATAAGGTTCATTAGTCAATGAATGTGCAATACATTTGTGACTGTATTTGTTCATCTTTGTAAACATTAGTTAATATAAATACAGCTGTTCATTGTTAGTTCACACAACAAGATTTTAATAAAGTATTAGTAAATGTTGAAATTAACATTAACAAAGACTAAATGCCATATAAGTGCAGTTCACTCACTGTAAAAAATATTTTCAAGATTTGTTATCACAACATATTTTCTTTTTTTTTTTTTTTTTAGTTCAGATAACTTATTATTTGGAGTTTCTGATGGTTAAATTAATCTCCTTCATTGCATTAACTCACTTTTTACAGTTCAATCAACTTAAAATTTTAAGGCAACCCAGGTTACTTACGTTTTTAAGTTAAACCAACATTTTTTTTACAGTGTAGTAATCACAACATTTTTTTCTTTTGTCAAATCAACTTAAATAATTTATTTAGTTCAGATAACATATAATTTTGAGTTTCTGATGGTTAAATTAATCTCCTTCATTGTATTAACTCACTTTTTCCAGTTCAATGAACTTAAAGTTTTAAGGCAACCAGGTTACTTACTTTAAGTTAAACCAGCAATATTTTTTTTTACAGTGTATTAGTTCATGTTAACTAATTAACCTTAAAGTTTTACCAATTTATTAATTATAAATACAATTTCAAGTCATTTAAATGTAAAAAAAGTTTTTTTGTGTGTGTGTGATAAATGGAGGTGATCTGAAGTGAGAGTCAGAGGTCAGAGAGTTCAGACGTGTGTCCTTGAAGGCGCAGCTGTTAAACATCGACATGCTCTTATGAGAAACATTCATGCAGACGTGAAACACACCCAACAGATGCAGATCCTGGATCTGTGCATTAGACGAGAGGTTCCCAGATCCACTGAATCGTGGCTTGATTGTTGTGCTTGTACAGTGACTGACACCCTTATTGTGTGTTTTATTCAAAGCACACAGCAGGGAAAGTACGTGAAATTCCTTTTTTTTCCCAGTGTGTGTGTGTGTGGGTGTGTGTTAATGCGGTCAAGCCTCACCTTCCTCAAGAGTGCAGAAAGTAAACAGACCTAAAAGGGAATTTCAGCTCTTGTCTCCTAAATGCTGAATGGCGTTCTCATAACAGATGGTCAGTAGGAGGTCAAGCAGTTTGCTCTAAATGAGTGCAGAAACCAGGTGTCAAGGTTTGTATTTTTAGAAGAACCTTGGAGTGCCATGTGCAATGAGAGTAGTACATATATATATATATATATATATGCTTTTCACAGCCCCTGGTTGGGTCATGGTAAATCTGGATATTTAAAGAGGCATATAGGATGAGACTAACAAAGGAGTAATTCACTTAAAAGATGAAAACATTCCAGGATTTTTCTCCATATAATGGACTTCAATGGGGTCCAAACGGTTCAAGGTCCAAAAGACAGTTTCAGTGCAAACTGTTCAAAGGGCTTTAAACGATTCCAGATGATGAATAAGGGTCTTAACGATCGCTCATTTAATAAATAAATTAAAAAGTTAAAGTTTTATAAGCTCAAATGCTCGCCTTGCTCTGTTCTGTGATGCGCGTCCGTGACTCTCCTGTTCGAACTCGTTCATCAAAATGAACGAATCTTTTTTTTGAGTCATTTGGTTTGAAATTAATGGAATGACTCGAAAAAGATTTGTTCATTTTGATGAACGAGTTCGAACGGGAGAGTCACGAACGCGCATCACAGAACAGAGCAAGGCGAGCATTTGAGCTTATAAAACTTTAACTTTTTAATTTATTTATTAAATGAGCGATCGTTTCGCTTGATAAGACCCTTATTCATCGTCTGGAATGGTTTAAAGCCCTTCGAACAGTTTGCACTGAAACTCTCATTTGGACCCTATTGAAGTCCATTATATGGAGAAAATCCTGGAATGTTTTCATCAAAAACTTTAATTTCTTTTCGACTGAAGAAAGAAAGTCATGGACATATTGGGTGACATGGGGGTGAGGAAATTATCAGCAAAAGATTTTTTTAAAGTGAACTACTCCTTTAATTTAATTCATTGGGAATTGATTGGATGGTGAAATATGTCGCTATAAATACGAGTTTTAGATGGAGTTGTCGACCAGAGCTGCATCATTTTGTTTATTTAACCTATAAAAAAAGATGTATAGTTCAAGTGATTTGTTTCATTCAACGAATCTGCGTTTCTAAATGAATCGGTTGAATGAATGATTCATAATAACAGACACTTGTTTCTTTCCTGAATGAAGTATAAGCTGTTGAACGATTGAGACTCTACTTGCAAAAAGCGAAAAAAGAGTCACTGTAAAATCCACAACACTAATGCACAGACGGACAGTTTGTCAGATTGGAGGATTGTTGGGTTTTTTTATCGATAAATTCCCGGATTTTGATGTGTGTGTGTGGTCATGTTCATGTATGGAGAGCTGTATAGATCTCTATGCTCTGTTCATCCAGCTCTGGACATCGGCACCTGGGATCTGGCGTGCGAGTTCAATAACACGGACCACCACACGGAGCTGAACGGCACGGACCGGCTGATCGTACGGCGAGGACAAGCCTTCACCGTTAGCCTGTATCTGAACTCTGGCTCTTACCAGCCTGGATACAGTCAGATGCACATCACTGCAGAGACAGGTAATGTGGCGTGTGTGTGTGTGTGTGTGTGTTTAATGAGACCGAGGAATTTAGAGTGTTTTTACTGACATCTGCCTTAAATCCTATCCTTTTCCTATCGTAGCTGGTTTCAGCAAGCATGACCAAAACACCTTGAAAACCATCAGTGTAGAGACCGACCAGCTAACCACGTTTGGCCAGTTCAAGCTTAAGGGTTCATTGGGGTTCTCTATATGAAGCATAGGGTTCTTTACTCAACTCCAAAGAATGCTAAAAAAAGATTCTATAATGACAAGAAAGAAGGTTCTTTATAAGCTATTATTCATTCATATATTACATTATTCTGCAACATTTTGTAGTTGTAATTAAATTATTGTTTATTAGATCATTTCAGGAGAAAAACTGAAATGGCACTCTACGTGTGATATTGATTAACTACATAAAATGATATAAATATAGACACCCCCATATCTTGAATTTTGTGATCATTCACATTCGTAAATGCATTTTAGGGTCTTGATGTTTGTTAATAATATGAAATATTTAATCCGGAAAGGACAAAACAAATGATAATGAATGAACCCAAAAGGTTCCATGTAGAACCTTTTTCCTGGTTACAAAGAACCCTAAAGTGTTCTTATTATTGAACCCTTAAAAATTGTTGTGTATTTAGGGGTTCAAAATACGATGCGCTGATAGAACATTTTAACCCTCTGGGGTTGTTCGTTTCAGAGTCACACTCGGGGTGTTCGGGTCCAAATGGACCCAAAGGGCGGGATTCATATTAAAAAAAATAAAAACATTATGATTTTTTTTTTTTACTCGTTTTTTTATAATATTTTTTCTTTTCTTTTTTGGTGTTTTGAAAAAATTTCGGAAAAAAAAAAATATATATATATATATAATTAGTATTAATGCAATAATTATGACAAAATTTCCCCCCATTGAACATAATAGAAAAAATATTTTTTTTTAAAAATGTCTTTAAAGCTGTATTTCATTTTAGAGTCAAGCCTAGGCCTCATAAAAACAATTTTTAAAATGAGATGGATGCCATCTGGTGGACAAACTGAGCATTTTAAAAATGCAAAACACATGTATAATCTGACTTTTTTGGTGTGTTTGTGTATAAAAGTGTGTTTGTGTGTGTCTGGATGTGTCTGTTTTGCACTGTTTTATAGATTCACCCCTTCACTGTTGTGCTTTTTTTTCAAGATCGTGGCTGATTTGTGATTGTACGCACAAAAAAACTCAGTATTTTCACATGTTTGCCAATTTCCCACTCATTTTCCATGTGGGTCAATTTGGACCCGAACCAACACCCCAAGTGTGACTATTTTTTTTTAACACCACTTAGACTATTCACATCCTGTCCCCAATTTTTTGGGGTGTTCAAATACCAAATAGCAACAAAGTCACCAAATTTCGGATCATTCCGAGGAAGCTGTGATTTAAAAAAAAATATATATTAAAATTCTTCGGGTCCATTTGGGCCGAACAACCCCAGATGGTTAACTTAATGTTCTATATAGAAATTAACTCCCTCCAAAGCATACGCAGACACAAGTGGTTATCTCGCTACTGGTTTAATTGAAGACTTTTCTCCAAATCCACCGTGAAAACTAAACAGTATAAACAGAAAAAATACAGAAATGACATGAGTAACACAAAGCGAAAGCTATGCACAATAGCATGTGCAACAGACATTTCACTGACAAAAAACAGACAAATAAAACAAAATACCTCGTTGGCTGCATGCTGTGAGAAAGGGAAATAGTCTTCGAATCTTCCTTACTAACGTCCTTTGTACAAGAATAAAACTTTATCTGAAAATACATAAAGTATGTGCTGCTTGCCGCTTGCTTGTATGAACCTCTGAAATTGAACCGCGTGAATCTGACGTGAAATCCGCATTTGCGCATGCACTTGAACCGATCCTTCAAAATAAAAGTACTGCAACTCACGATAAAATAAATAATGTATAAATAACAAACACGATTAAATTTTAATTATGAAAGTTAATATAGAAAAATAAACAAATTATATAAATATAATGGCAGCATTTACAGTTCTATATATAACATTTTCTTCTAAGAGTGGGATGACTTATTTTTACTATACATAAAAAGCACGATAAGTCAGGTCAAGATAAGTGATGATTTTGGTCAGCTATTATTATTATTATTATTTAATGTACACTTAATAATAGTGTTGACAGTTTTGTCAGAGGTCTACTGAATTAACCCAATTTCTCATTTTCGTTTAACTCAGACTCACTTTAACGCTCAGGCTCATTGCTTTTTTAAAATGCCTGAAAGAGCTATATGAAAAAGACAATAGTTGTTAGTCATAATAATCCTTTCTTCCGTATCTCTACTTCCCCATGTGTTGTGTAGGAAGAAATTATTTCAGAAGCAATTGTTCAACTGTTTTATTTTCCAAAGAGATCAAGTTCATTCTTTATTAAAGATCAAGAGGTTGATGTTGAGGATGAAAGTTAACACTGTCAAGGATCTTGTTGGACTCTTTCATGTAATATATTCTGCCATGTTGATGAGAGGAGGTGCTGGAACAAGAGATAACATTACTGGGACAGAAGTGTGTAACCGACAGGAAAAACTCTGCTCAGACTCAGATAACTCTAATGTCAAGAAAACAAGACCGTCTGGCTTGTTTAATAGAATTTTTGACGACGAGATATCATAGTGTCAAGTGCAAAACTAGTTGTTTTAGTGAACATTCAGAAAACTCTTTTTTATCTTTCTTAGTTGCATGAGCCGAATCTAGTTCTAATAAGTTTAATAAGCATGCATGACACCTCTAAACCAGATGTGACGGTGACCAGTAAGTGTCTGTCTGTCCGTTCAGAACTATGACACAGTCAGCCAATCAGAAGATTGTTTGTTTAGTGTACAGGCGAAGATTTCAGAGTGGGTGGGGCTATCCATCATGATGCAGCAGAAACCAATCAGAATGCACCGATGGCACTTGTCACGTAGAGTTTCAGATTAATGTGATATTAAAGTCGGCATGAAACAGAAGTTCTTCTCTATTGTGTCTAATATCGAGTGAAACGCTTCTGGAACAAGAACAAATGTGGGCGGGGCTTGATTTTGCCTGTAAGGAATTGATGATTGGATGGTTGTGGTTTGCTATTGGCTGATCTCATGTGAGTGACAGGTTATAGCCCCGCCCTCGTCATCAGAGAATAGATTCAAGATTATTAAAACAACAATGATGTGCACGGATAAATCATTTAGAATACAATATTTCACACAAAAAAACACATTTGTCATCAGACAAGCATTAATTGTTTTCTTACACCCAGACAAACTGGGTGTCCCCAGTTCTTTCCTCACTGTTGTTTAAGTTACGCTGTTGTACTGACGGGAAATGGAGAGCGAGGAGGGATTATCTGGAACACTTCCAAGTCTGAGCACATGAATTCCAGTTAAACGCCCTTTAAACGCAGGGTCAAAGACTCAGTGAGATGTGAGATTCAGAGGTCGATGCCGCAGCTCTAGACACATTCCAGACTGCCTTTAGGATTCAAAGAAGGGGGATTTTGGGAACTATTCTCGTTCAAACCGCTGATTGTATCTGTGAAGAACAATGTGAACGAGCTCAGTTCAAACACAGCATCCCTATGGACTCCTTCGTGCTGAATGTAGAAAGTTTGTCCTGCCGCAAAACAACATTTAATAAAGCAGCAACATTATAGCAGAGGATACTTTTAAGATCCCAGCTAAAAGTAAACAAGATTCTCTCAAATATTCTTCCAGTAACGTTAATAGAACAGTCGTTCAAATATATCGTGTCTATAATTCTAAATATTAGCACAAAAACATAATACATCATTCATGGAACTTTTTTTTTCTGAAATATTTTAGTTTGGAGGTTTGTCTAACATTTTTAAATCTTACTACATGTTTCAGAACGTTCATTTAAAAGTAATATCCCCATAATGTTTAGAAGGATGGAATGTTCATCCTGGTTAATATTCAGAGAACATTCAGATGTAACGTTTTCATAACTTAATATAAATGTTAGCAAAATATTCATAGACCATATTTTTGTTAGCTGGTATTCACCATCAAATAGATGGTTTTGAGCCACTGAGCTTGTATTATGAAATATTACAATTTAAAATCAATGTTTTCTGTCATTTATTCGTGTGATCAAAGCTATATTTTCAGCATCATTACTCCAGTCTTCATGATCCTTCAGAAATCACTCTAATATGATGATTTGCTGCATTTTTGATTATTATCAATGTTAAAAACAGTTTCGTATAAACCGTGATACGTTTGATTTTTTTAAAGGAACACTCCGACTTTTTTGGACTTTAACTTATTCACCGTATCCCTCAGAGTTAGATGAGTCCATACATAGCGTTTTCATATCCGTGCGTGCTGTAACTCTGTCTGACGCACCCACCGCTAGCCTAGCTTAGCACAAAGACTGGATTTAAATGGATACAGCTAGCATACTAATCCCAATAAGAGACAAAATAACACAAACATTTTATTTACATGTTGTGATTTAAATAGTCACAGAGTGTACAAGTAACAAGGTCATATGAGACACAGATATCTTTTAACCATATATATATATATTTGGAACTATATTCTTAGAAGGCGAAGCACTGCTACTTGGGCGGAGTGATCACCACATGTGGTAAGGAGCAGAAAGTTCGAAAGAATCGAGTCAGCAATTTACTAGATAGTAAAAGCATAGTTTACATAGTTTTGTCTTAAGTACAAAATCATTGGTTACCCGTAAGCCCGTAAACATAACGTTTGGTTATGACGTGTGATTCGCCAGCTCAGCCGCGTCGAACTTCCACGTAAACACATGTATGAGGCGAAGACGAAACCATCGAGCGAAAAACCGGAAAACATTTGTGTTATTTTGTCTCTTATTGGGATTAGTATGCTAGCTGTATCCATTTACATCCAGTCTTTGTGCTAAGCTAGGCTAGCGGTGGGTGCGTCAGATGGATTTACAGCACGCACGGAGATGAATAAGGCATGTATGGACTTATCTAACTCTGGGGGATACGGTGAATAATCTAAAGTCCAAAAAAAGAGTGTTCCTTTAAGATTCTTCAATCAATAGAAAGTTCAAAAGAAGCCTGTGTTGGGAGCTCTGTAAAGATTGGTCAGTGTGTAACGTGTGTGTGACGGTGTAGGCCCTCAGCCGGTGGAGCAGTACGGGACCAGGGCCGTGTTCGGTCTCAGTGCTGAGATCGACAGCTCGTGTTGGAGTGCTGCGGTGACCAGTCCTCCCGCGGACACCGTGTGTCTGAGTGTGTGTCCCGCGCCCGACGCTCCCATCGGCCGATACGTCCTGACCATAGATGAGCGCGTCCAGTTTGAGTTCATCCTGCTGTTCAATCCCTGGTGTCCGAGTGAGTACACACAGATATCCTGTTCCTAATGTTAAAAGATGAGTAAGATCTCTGCGTGCTCAACCCATGATCTGACTCACAGGAGATGTGGTGTACATGGACAGCGAGGAGAAACTGGCGGAGTATGTTCTGGCCCAGGATGGCATCATCTTCAGGGGCGATGCCGAATACCCCGTCCCGTTAGCCTGGGACTTTGGACAGGTACCAACATGCACCATTACACACGTTCATGATCTCTAAGGACCGTCTAACACACACGACAGCAGAGACACTCAAAATTAAATTACATTTTTTTTACAGAATCAAATTAGTTTATAATTATAGTTTATAAATTAGTAGTATAATTAAATTATGGTTTATTTATATTTCAATTAACTTAACTTAACATAACATTTTTTTGCTAACGATAATCCAAATCACCTAAAATTAAAAAGCATAAATAAAAGAATATATTAAAGGAGTTGTTCACTTTAAAATAAACGTTTGCTGATAATTTACTCACCCCCATGTCATCCAAGATGTCCATGTCTTTCTTTCCTTAGTCGAAAAGAAATTAAGGTTTTTGATGAAAACAATCCAAGATTTTTCTCCATATAATGGACTTCAATGGGAACCAAACGGTTCAAGGTCCAAAAGACAGTTTCAGTGCAAACTGCAAACTGTTTAAAGGGCTTTAAACGATTCCAGACGATGAATAAGGGTCTTATCAAGCGAAATTTAAAAAATAAATAAAAAAGCTTAAGTTTTATAAGCTCAAATGCTCGGCTTGCTCTGTTCTGTGATGCGCGTTCGTGACTCTCCTGTTCGAACTCGTTCATCAAAATGAACGAATCTTTTCCCGAGACAATTCGTTCATTTCGTTTGTTGAATGAACCAAATGACATGAAAAAAGATTTGTTCATTTTGATAAACGAGTTCGAATAGGAAAGTCACTTGAGTGAGTAAATTATCAGCAAAAGTTTTTTTGGTCCCACTTTATATTAAGTGGCTTTAAGTACTATGTACTTACATTGAAATTAATAATTTGATACAATGGACTTATTGTGTAAATACATTGTAAAAATACCTGCATGTAATTACAGCTGTAATTAATTTATATAATTACACTGTTGACCCTACCCTTGCACCTTAACCCACCCTTAAACTGACCCATACCACCACACCTGTCCCTAACCTTACCCGTATCATACCTCAATAACAGCAAAAGTGTTTTACAATACAGCAGGAACACAAGTACATATTTTTAGATGTAAGTACGTAATACTTAAAGCCACTTAATATAAAGTGGGACCGTTTTTTTAAAAGTGGACTACTCCTTTAAGAAATGTTGTGAAATGTTAATATTGAGATCTCTGGTTTTTGAATGCAGAAGTCTGAGACATTGTTGAAATCTCTTCAGAAAATCTAGCGGAAACATGCGTGATTACGGATGTCTTTTCCTCAGGTCAAACATCTGGAAGCAGGAGTTTGAGAATGTGCCTGGCCATTTAATCTGAATTATTTGCTTTTTTCTATAGGCATTTTAGGGAAAAATTGACCTGTTTTAGTGAAGTGAAGTGTGCAAGAGTGTTATTTGCACATGTTTTAATCATGTCTCTGTTGCGTTTGTCCTATAGTTCGAGCAGGGCATACTGGACACCTGTTTAAGAATCCTGGACATGAACCCCAAACACAAAAGGAACCCTGGGAAGGACTGTTCTGGGCGCAGAAACGTCATCTATGTCACACGAGTGCTCAGTGCTATGGTCAGTACACACATAAGTGTGTAATTTACTCAAATGCCTTTCCTTTCATATATTTAAAATGACTTGCAGATTTATAACTTTATTACCTCTGAAGACATTATGACTGTAACAAAAGATGTGTGCGGCTGATTTGGTTATGAACAGATCGTGCGTACACATGAGCGTACACACCTCTGTTGCAGTTTCGCTTGTCACCAGAGGGGGCGTAGTTCTGCAAAAACTCACAGACTTGCACAATGCACCTTTTAAGGGGATCTGTACTTTTCAGCATTGCTTTTTCAACATTGAAATGTTTCTTGAGCAGTAAATCCGCATATTAGAATTGGAATTTGGCCAAAAACAATATATTTTATAATGCAGCGTAATTATATAATCAACGTTTGCTTCATCAGATGTCTACGTAGGCAGCTCACTAGTTACTAGAACAAAATTAATGATACAATTATGATTCAAACTCATGTGATTTTTTGTAAGTTACAAGATGAGGATGATTGTCCTCCCCAGATTAACAGTAATGACCGGGACGACGGGGTCCTGGAGGGCTGCTGGAAAAACACGTTTGACGGAGGCGTGAGTCCCATGTCCTGGAGGGGAAGCGTTCAGATCCTGAGGATGTGGGACAACACCTCCTGTATGGGGGTGAAATACGGACAGTGCTGGGTCTTTGCAGCCGTCGCCTGTACAGGTATTAAATGATCCTATTAGATGATTTAGTGCTACTCAGTTGGTTACTCACTGTAACCTATGGAGCCCCTAAAGTGACTTAGTTCACACTTACATCTAATCAGATATAGTATAAAAAAATGAGTATTTGATGTGCTGAGGCACTGAATTTGGCCCTGGCTGGGATAGGAAAAATCGAGATGCTGGGAAACTGTGATGAACAGAGAGGTAAGTGGGTAATCTGTATCAAAGCCTCTTCTCGCTGGGTACACTCTCAGAAAAAAAGGTACAAAAGCTGTCACTGGGGCGGTACCTTTTCAAAAGATACACTTTTGTACCTAAAGGGTGCATATTGGTACCTTAATGGTATAAATATGTACTACGAAGAACCATATGACATATCACTAAAACGGTAATTAGTATAATACAGTATTTGTTTCCTTACACTCTAAAAAATGCTGGGTTGTTTCACCCCAAATTTGGGTCAAATATGGACAAACCCAAATGTTGGGTTAAAAATGTTAAAAACCCAACTTCAACTTTCACCTGTAAATTTTTGAATTACATTTTTAACCCAACATTTGGGTTTGTCCATATTTGACCCAAATATGGGTCGAAACAACCCAGCATTTTTTAGAGTGTTTGCATCTACTAAAGTGCAAATGTTCCTATTCTGGCATGGTTATAAGGGTAACATGCACTTTGTTACACATTAAATACAGTATACAGTAATTTCTATAGTAATAATTACTATAAATTGTGCATAATTACATGCAACTCTACACTAAACCTAAATCTATCATGCACTCTAAAAATGCTGGGTTGTTTCAACCCATTTGGGTTCGATATGGACCAACAAAGTTGAAAGTCGAAGTTGGGTTAAAATTTTTAATTATATTTATAACCCAACTTTTGGGTTTGTCCATATTTGACCCAAATTTGGGTCAAAACAACCCAGCATTTTTTAGAGTGTAAACATAACCCTATAGTAAGTAAATGTAATTGATTAATATTACTCATCACTAAAATGTATAATTACATTAATAATTTTGTATGTTGTTGGGCCTGTGCCGTTCGTTATTTTGTACAATAAACAGTTTTGGTTCAGCATCAGGCCTCCAGTCAATGTCTAAAGGAAAACCAGTTGAGACCAAGTGCATTGTACTGTGTGAAACGAGGAACAGATGAAGCAGGTTCATGTGTTTTCCTCAGTGTCTCGCGCTCTGGGAATCCCATGCAGGGTGATCACAAACTACTATTCTGCCCATGATACCAACAGCAACCTCGTGATCGAGCGTTACGTCAACGAGAAAGGTGAAATAGACAGCGGCAGCACCAGAGATATGATATGGTAGGACTTCTTTTATAAAAATAACTCATGCAGAACGTGATTCGTCAATCAAAATCTACAGTTAATGAATATAAAACCTCAACAAGCGCATATTTGGACACATTTTTGAGGAGTTTTTCCGCTGTAGGAACTACCACTGCTGGATTGAGAGTTGGATGACGCGAGCCGATCTCCCTCCAGGATTTGACGGCTGGCAGGCGAGTGACCCGACGCCGCAGGAGAAAAGTGAAGGTGTGGAGACGTCTCTCTACTTCCTGTCAAACAGGAAATCAAACATTCTGAAACTTAAAGAGATAGATAGATAGATAGATAGATAGATAGATAGATAGATAGATAGATAGATAGATAGATAGATACACTCTTAGAAGAAATGGTTCTATTTAGAACCAGAAATGGTTCCATCCCCCGCTTCAATTTTTTTTTGGTAAAAGGTTCTATTGGCCAAGTATGGAACCCCAGGGTTCTATATAGAACCCAGGGGAACCCTTTTTTAAGAGTGTATAGAACCTTTTAGGGGTTCCAAATACGTAGCGCTGATAGAACCTTTTAAGGTTCTATATAGAACCTTTTCTTCTAAGAGTGTAGGTAAATAGATAGATAGATTGATAGATACACTCTTAGAAGAAATGGTTCTATTTAGAACCGGAAATGGTTCCATCCCCCGCTTCAATTTTTTTTGGTAAAAGGTTCTATTGGCCAAGTATGGAACCCCAGGGTTCTATATAGAACCCAGGGGAACCCTTTTTTAAGAGTGTATAGAACCTTTTAGGGGTTCCAAATACGTAGCGCTGATAGAACCTTTTAAGGTTCTATATAGAACCTTTTCTTCTAAGAGTGTAGGTAAATAGATAGATAGATAGATAGATAGATAGATAGATAGATAGATAGGTAGGTAGGTAGATAGATAGATAGATAGATAGATAGATAGATAGATACACTCTTAGAAGGAATTGTTCTATTTAGAACCAGAAATGGTTCCATCCCCCACTTCATATATGGAACTCCAAAATGGTTCTATAAAAAACATTTTTTTTTGGTAAAAGGTTCTATTGGCCAAGTATGGAACCCCAGGGTTCTATATAGAACCCAGAGGAACCCTTTTTTAAGAGTGTATAGAACCTTTTAGGGGTTCCAAATACATAGCACTGATAGAACCTTTTAAGGTTATAAATAGAACCTTTTCTTCTAGATAGATAGATAGATAGATTAATCTTAGTCTCTGTAATGATCGATCATAATCTGAGGTGTGTGTTCTGTCAGGTGTGTTCTGCTGCGGGCCGGTTCCTGTGCGGGCCATAAAAGAGGGAGAGCTCACCTTCAAATACGACGCTTCGTTTGTGTTCGCGGAGGTCAACGCAGACTTAGTGCACTATCTGAGGTATAAAGATGGGAACACAAGAAAAATCGTGAATGACCAAAAAGTGGGACAGAAGATCAGCACCAAGAGCGTAGGCCGAGATGTGAGAGAAGACGTCACACACCTGTACAAATACCCTGAAGGTAGGAACACACAGACAAGCGCACTTCCTTTCAATATCGCGAAATAAAGAGATTCATTTTGCAACATCCTCTCCCAGGTTCTGCGGAGGAGAGGCAGGTTTTCGAGAAAGCAAACCACCAGAACAAGCTTCAACAGCAGCAGGTGAACACTGGGCTTCACATCAGCATCAAGCTGTCCACGGGGATCCGGAAGGGCTGCGACTTCGACGTGTTCGCCATAGTGACGAATAACACCACGGAGGATAAGAAGTGCCGTCTGGTGTTTGCGTCGCGTGCCGTGTCTTATAACGGAGTTGTGGGCCAAGAGTGTGGCTTTAAAGACCTGCTCAACGTGGAACTGGCTCCTGGAGGAGGTGCGCTGTCATTATAATACTCTCAGAAAAAAAGGTACAAAAGCTGTCACTGGGGCGGTACCTTTTCAAATGGTACACTTTTGTACCTAAAGGGTGCATATTGGTACCTTAATGGTATATTTTAGGTGCTAATATGTACCATTAAGGTACCAATATGCACTCTTTAGGTACAAAAGTGTACCATTTGAAAAGGTACCGGCCCAGTGACAGCTTTTGTACCTTTTTTTTCGGAGAGGTGAAGTGTGTGTGTGACTCAGAATGGAAAGCCAATTGCATCTAAGCAATTTTGTGCAAACTCTTGCCTCAATTAAGTGCACTGGCCAAGCATTTACATGCATTTGCATATGCATAATGTCTTGGTGAAGTTATTGTAATGCATGGCTTGGAGTGGCTTATGGCTTTTGTAGAACAGAAGGAACAGCTATTTTTAATAAAAGGTTCTTTTAAATAGTTATCCAATATTCAATAAATTAGTATTAGTAGTAATAACAATATTTTTTGTTTACACTTTATTTTAAGGTGTCCGTGTTACAGTGTAATTATACATTTAAGTACTATTTAAATGTATTTTTAATAGTTACTATTCACTCAAAAAATGATATGTTGGCTTTAATTAACTTTTTTATGTCAACAGGTTCCAACTGGGTTACGTTAAACAAACATAATTTGTTCATGTAACTTCAACATAATTGAATTAAGTACTTTTAAGCGATGATAACTGAAGCAGTGTTAAAGTTAAAGAGATAATTAAGTGAATAATTGAGGGATGATTGATCATTCTTGAAGATTGTAACAAGCAGAATCACCGGAAGTCACCATTATGGTGATCAATGTGTGTTTTAGTTGGATTCAACTTTAACACTGCTTCAGTGTTCATTCAACACTTAAAATTGGGTCACTTAAAATGACTTATTCCATTATGTTGAAGTTACATGAACAAATTATGTTTGTTTAACGTAACCCAGTTATGTGGAACCTGTTGACATAAAAAAAGTTAACGGTGCAGGGTTTGGATTAGGGTTAGGTTTAGTTTCATGTAATTGTGCATAATTTATAGTTATTACTATAGTAACTACATACACAAGGATACTGTAAAATTTAGTGTTACCTATTTTTGAAATTTTTTTTACATTTTATACAGTATATATTTAAAATTGTAATTAAATAATATATTAAAATAATATTAAACAGAATTGATACTACTGACTTTCCGTTTATATGAAACTACTGACTTTTACATATTATTTATAAAAATTTGTGTACATGCTTTAATTATTATTAGTAGCAGTAGTAGTAGTAAGAACAATTTATTTTTGAATGTATTATTTATTATATGTATATAATATTGAGCATAATTGATAATGACTTTTTTAATATTATTGAATTATTCTTTGATTGTTTTGTGTCTTCACTGTGTTGCGTGTTTGTTCCAGAGAGGAAGGTTCCTCTGAGACTGAACTACAGTAAATACTGTAATAATCTAACGGAGGATAACCTCATCCGCCTGGGCGCTCTGCTGATCGACTACGGCACCAGGGAAGTCAGCATGGCCATGCGGGACGTCGTGCTGGACGAGCCCGAGATCAAAATCAGGGTACGACCACTCTTAAAAGAAAAGGTTCTATATAGACCATTTCACAAGATGTAAACAACACTGGTCCAGAAGCACTTCCTGTTTCAGTTTGTAACTGTTTTCTTTATTTCACATGTAAAGAAAATATCTTAAAGATGTTTGTTTAACTTTTTGATTCAGTTTTAAATGTTCTTTTGGTTGTATTTTATCCCAGCTTTTATGTAGTGTTAAAAAACTGAAACAGGAAGTGCTTCTGGACCAGTGTTGTTTACATCTTGTGAAATGGTCTATAGAACCTTAAAAGGTTCTATCAGTGCTTCGTATTTGGAACCCCTAAAAGGTTCTATACACTCATAAAAAAGGGGTTCATCTGGGTTCTATATAGAACCCTGGGGTTCCATACTTGGCCAATAGAACCTTTTACCAAAAAAATGGTTCTATATAGAACCATTTTGGAGTTCCATATATGAATCGGGGGATGGAACCATTTCTGGTTCTAAATAGAACCATTTCTTCTAAGAGTGTATGTTAATGTATGTGTGTGTTGATGTTGATGTACCACTTGTGGTGGTTGAGGAGAGATCCCCTGATATGACTGTAAAGCACTTTGGATGTACATATGAAAGCACTATGTAAATGGTTTCCACTTTATTTCGATAGTCCACTTTAGACATTCTACTAACTATAAGTAACTTTGCAACTACATGTCAACTAACTCATTAGAGTATTAGTAGACTGTTCGGTCATGGTTAGGTGTTCGGGTTAGTAGAATAAGTTGACTTATAGTCCGTAGAATGTCTGTTTGGGAACCATCAAAATGAAAGTTTTAAGCATACAGCCTACTAATACTCTAATGAGAGTTAGTTGACATGTAGTTACTTATAGTTAGTAGAATGTCTAAAGTCAAGTGGACTATCGAAATAAAGTGTTACCTATAAATGTCTCATTCATTCATTCATGCGTCATTCTAGATTCTGGGAGAACCCAAAGAGAACCGTAAGCTGGCGGCAGAGCTGACCTTACAGAACCCGCTGCCCGAACCCTTGCAGAGCTGTTGCTTCACCATAGAGGGCGCCAACCTCACGGGCGGCAGCAGCATCACCGAGAAGTAAGAACACAAACTGTCTTTAGTAGAATGAGAAAATGCAATAGAGAGTGAGAGACGATGGCTACAAACACACTGCAGAGTTCTGGGAATCAGCTTAAAGTGCCCCTATTCTTGTTTTTCACATATTCCCTTTCATGTAGTGTGTAATAGAGCTGTTTGTGAATGTAAACGATGTCCAAAGTTTAAATACTAGTTAAAATAAATACTGTAGAAGCACCAAGATGCAAATGCAGTTCACAAAATGCACGTAAACCTCACACAGCATCTTTACTTAAGAACGGGGTGAGTTATATAAGGCAACTACACGGGTGGTTCAGAGACCTACTAATTATATGTAATAATTAATAGAAAATTTTGGTGTAGAAATGCTAGAAACCGCTAGTAAATTTCTGAATTAAACATGACATTTTGAAGTAAAAAGACTGAAATAGTATTTTCTTAAAGAAAAACATACTCCATCTTTGTTTTAGTTACAACTTCAAAAAAATCTGGTGTTTTTTTCAGTGTATGAATATGCGGAACCGGACTGTAAAATTGAAGTGCTAGACATAAACTTATATGCTTAAGTTAAGATATGCATGAACTACGATGAAAACACATTTAACTTATACATTTGTAGATTTGCATCCAAAACGTCTTTGTACGGAAGCCCTGAACCGCAATCTAAAAAAAAAAAAATCTAGCATTTCGAGATTAAAGTCAAAAAATTTCGAGGTTAAAGTTGAAACATTTTGAGATTAAAGTCAAAACATTGCGAGATTAAAGTCGAAAATTTTCAAGATTAAAGTCGAAAAATTTCTAAATTAAAGTCGAATAATTTCGAGATTAAAGTCGAAACATTTCGAGATTAAAGTCGAAACATTTCGAGATTAAAGTCGAAATATTTCGAGATTAAAGTCGAAATATTTCAAGATTAAAGTCGAAAAATTCCGAGATTAAAGTCGAGACATTTCGAGATTAAAGTCGAAAATTTTCTAGATTAAAGTCGAAAAATTTCGAGATTAAAGTTGAAAAATTTCATGATTAAAGTCGAAAAATTTCGAGATTAAAGTCGAAACATTCCGAGATTAAAGGAGTAGTTCACTTTTTAAAAAAACTTTTGCTGATAATTTACTCACCCCCATGTCATCCAAGATGTCCATGTCTTTCTTTCTTCAGTCGATAAGAAATTAAGGTTTTTGATGAAAACATTCTGGGATTTTCTCCATATAATCTACTTCAATGGGAACCAAAGGGTTCAAGGTCCACATGAGAGTTTTAGTGCAGCTTCAGAGGGCTTTAAACGACACCAGATGATGAATAAGGGTCTTATCAAGCGAAACAATCAGTCATTTAAAAATAAATAAAAGTTTAAGTTTTATAAGCACAAATGTTCGCCTTGCTCTGTTCTGTGATGAGCGTTCATGACTCCTGTTCGAACTCGTTCATCAAAATGAACAAATCTTTTTTCGAGTCATGACTCGAAGGGTCCTTGATAAGACCCTTATTCATCTCCTAGTGTCGTTTATAGCCCTTTGAAACTGCACTGAAACTCTCATTTGGACCTTGAACCGTTTGGTTCCCATTGAAGTCCATTAAATGGAGAAAATCCTGGAATGTTTTCATCAAAAACCTTAATTTCTTTTCGACTGAAGAAAGAAAGACATGGACATCTTAGATGACATGGGGCTGAGTAAATTATCAGCAAAAGTTTTTTCAAAAGTGTACTCCTTTAAAGTCGAAACATTTCGAGATTAAAGTCTGTTATGATAATGTAATAATGTTTCAACTTTAATCTTGAAAGTTTCGAATTTAATCTCTAAGTGTTTCGACTTCAATCACGAAATGCTAGATTTAATTTTTTTTTTTCAGTTTTTTGATGTTGCTGTTCAGGGCTTCCGTGTCTTTGCCTCACCAAATCACGTGACTGAATAATTCACCATCAGACCTTTATATCACATTGCATTTCAGCTGTTCTGTTGAACTTTTTTCACAACTTCTCAAAATCCTAGATTTTCAAAGTGGTCTCAGACTTTTAGAACCGACTGAACCTTTAAACGCAGCGAGGAAACATCACACACTGCTCTTTGCTAGTGTCTAATAGTTTATATTTGAATAAACACCATTCAGACTAGAAATATGAAAAGAGGTGAATCTGTGAGATTTCTAACGTGTAAATATTTGGTCGTCTCAGGCTGGAGTCCGCCATCGAACCTGGGCAGGAGGCCAAAGTTAAAATCTACTTCACCCCCACTCAGTCCGGCCTGCGCAAACTTGTGGTGGATTTTGACAGTGACAAGCTGGGCCACGTTAGAGGATACAGGAACGTCATCATCGGAAAATGAGAGTCTTTGCTGGTGAAAAACAGAATGTGAAATCATCTATTTTCCATGTACTTATCGTCATAATCTTTTATATCCTGTATTTTTGTTATAATGTGAAAAGCCACACTACGTTTCTGGCTTCTTAGCAGCTCATACTCTACACACACCGCATGTTTTCAAGCACAAAACATTGTATGCAATCTTTTTAATTTTTAGGACACGGAAGCATGCACATCGCTGGATGTGTGTTTGGAGACGCATTGCATTTTATACTTATATAAAAAATGATGCATTGAAAAGATGGCAATGTGGCATTGAGATTTTTAGGTGCGAGAGTAAACATTTCACATGCATCTTTATGGTTTTTCTTCAAATATATTTTTATATTCAGCTGTTACTTCTTCATTAAAAAAATATGCTATAATCTTGGATGGAGTGTTTTTAGTCTGTATCATGTAAAAGGCTCAGAAGAAGAATCAAAATATAATTTTTTGAAAATTCTAAGTAAAAAAAAATGCAATTCTTAAAACTATAAGCAGCAAAATCTGTTCTCAAAAGTGAAAATGTATGATGATGCCTATTGAGTGATCAGAAACCAGTCCACATACTAAAAATAACCCAACGAATAACCCAACTATGGGGTGGTATAACCTTCCAAACTGTGGGTTATTTTAACCCAATGCATTGGGTTAAACTCTAGTTGGGTTAAATAACCCAACAGTTGAGTTAAATATTTAAATAGGCTATTTAACCCAACAGTCGGGCTATTTTTAGAAATTACCCAACGATTTTAAAAAGAAAAATATTAAAAATAACCCAACATATTGACCCAATGTGTAACGCAACAGTTTGGTTAAACAAATAACCCAATGTTTTTTTACTGAAATATGGTCCTTAATTTGAATCGTATTGTTTTAATTCCTAAAAGTCCTAAAGTAATGACCCCATTTAATGTTTTCTTCCGTTTAATCACTGTACAGACTTGCACATGTTTGATCTACTTCAGTTAATGACCAGAAGGATGTTATCAACATAAACACTAGTAGATTACCTCAGCACACAGCACTTCATGTGCCAATAGAGGGAGTCTTTCCCAAACACCGTTGCTATAGAGCAGATAAACATTTACACATCAATCTGACATTTGGCATTGTTTTCTGACCACATTCACTGTTTCATAACAGGTAATAAATAAATCAACTCACCATTACAATGAATCCTTGTGTTTCCTAATGTACATACAGCAAGTAGATGGATGAGAGTGAACTGTATTTATTTTTAAAACTTAAAACTTAAAAAAAAACTTTTGCTGATAATTTACTCACCCCCATGTCATCCAAGATGTCCATGTCTTTCTTTCTTTAGTTGAAAAGAAATTAAGGTTTTTGATGAAAACATTCCAGGATTTTTCTCCATATAATGGACTTCAATGGGGACCAAACGGTTCAAGGTCCAAAAGACAGTTTCAGTGCAAACTGTTCAAAGGGCTTTAAACGATTCCAGACGATGAATAAGGGTCTTAACGATCACTCATTTAATAAATAAATAACAAAGTTGAAGTTTTATAAGTTCAAATGCTCGCCTTGCTCTGTTCTGTGATGCGCGTTCGTGACTCTCCTGTTCGAACTCGTTTATCAAAATAAATCTTTTTTGTGTCACTTGGTTCATTCAACGATCGAAATGAACGAGTTGACTCGGGAAAAGATTTGTTCATTTTGATGAACGAGTTCGAACAGGAGAGTCACGAACGTGCATCACAGAACAGAGCAAGGCGAGCATTTGAGCTTATAAAACTTAAACTTTGTTATTTTTTTTAAATGAGTGGAATTTGCACAGAAAATGCACATTTAAAAAGGTGAAAACGGATGATAAAGTATATCTTACAAGTTACACATTCCTGTTAAGGTCAGCCCTCAGGCGATGTGTTTTCATGATAGATTTGCTCTGTGACACACACACACACACACCCTAGACACTTTCCTACTGGCAATTCTTCTCCTCAATTTCACAATATCACATAACACACATAATGTATTTGGCATATTTCACTGGACTTGTAATGTCTCTAACCACTATTCAAACAATTCCTCATTTCCTCCACCTATTAACCCTCGGGTGCTCGTCACATTATTTCAATGAAAGGAATGTAGGCTACTATACTTTAATTCGATAATGTTTTTTATGGGATTTTATAGTACTATTTTATATTTATGCTGTAGTTATTATCCATTTATTCACGTTTTAAGCATAAAATATTCAAGATTTACACGTTTAAGTTGGAAGTGTAATTTTCAGGTCTAAAGCACAGACTCAAAGTTTGATCTTTTGTTTCCCATTTTGCACCAGAGTATTCATAAAGTGTTTATATTTTATAAGTCTTCATGATATGAACCAGGAAATCCAATTGTTTGGGGTTATATTTAAAAAAGACAGGGCTATGTAGCCTATGTATGAATAAATCATAACAGAAAGTGCATTTATTCTTGTGTTATTATATATGCGGGTTTTCATTGGATAAACGTTCAAAAGTTGTCATTTCATTTGATATAGTGCGCGATTGAGTTACATTTATCTTAGATACCTGAAGGTGCAAAAAGAAAACTTCAGACAAAAAACATTGGTTTTTCATTGATTTAAATGATAGTTTGTGTCCCTGGGTTTTAAAAGACATGAAGGGGTGAGTAAATAATGATAAGGTTTTGATTTTGTGGTGAACTATCCTTCGAATGAAGTTAATGTCAATATCCGAGTAGTGAATACTGACCTCTGTTGGTCAAATGGAGAAATTAATCGAAAATTAGAACTAAAGACATCAGGTCAGCTATTTTGTATCTTCATTCATTATCATTTCCCTTTTAAAACATATTATGCTACTTGTATTTAATATAAACGAGCATGTTAGTAATGCGTTTCAAAACCTCCAGCAGTGAAATAACATTCGTGGCACAACCAAATTAATTCCTGCCACACAACACACAGATTGCCAATAAAAAAAATTATAGCTAAATACTGTTCAAATGGTGCAATTCAATTAAAAAACTCTTAATGTTTATAGTGCTTTCTTACGTGTCGTGTAACAGCGGTCAGTCTGCAAACATTGTGGTCAATGTTGCAGAGTTTTTTTTTAAAACTGGGACATTAGAGGGATAGTTCACTTTGAAATTAATTTTTGATATGTTTTAGTTTACCTCAAGGGCATCCAAGATGTAGGTGTCTTTGTTTCCACGGCATTTTAAATTTTCATCAACTGTCAGTCATACACTGGAGGTTACGGTGGTCCTCCCTCGGTTCACCTCAAAGAGCATGCACAGAGAAGTCCAAATTAAACATGATTTAATAACTCGTGAATGTAAGTAGGCTACACATCGATGGCCTAAGACACAAAACAAGCGGTTTGTGTGAGAAAACGAACAGTATTTATATAGTTGCCTCTTGTTAAAAGCCGTCGAACTGATCTGAATCAATGTCCAACTGAACCGTCTCCAGACTTTACGCCGGAAGTGATCTCTCGCGTGTACGTCACGCATTGTTTACACGGAGATTTCGGAAGTTTTACCTCGAAATCGTCTTCCATTGATATTTCCTGTATATCTAAATATGTTTAGTTTATGTGATTGTACCAATATAAGAGACTTTCAACCAGCATAACAAAAATAAAATCATGGAGCAAATCACCCACCATTCCGTAAAATGCTTTGTTATTAAAGTAATTATGTCCCTTGAAAGGAGTCACATTTGAGGGTCATTTAAATGACATTTGAAAGTTCGAAACCTTCGGTTTATCCTGAGGGTGTTGCTGGATTCAGAGAACAGACTCTCATGACACAAACACACAATACTATACAGGCATAGCATAACACACAAACATGCGTCATAATTATGAACTCAAGACAATAAATCAACCGTTGAATAGACTTTTTAGACATTGTAAAATACAATTACAAATAACCCAGAGTTGAGGATTACGTAATTCCTTTTAATAGGTTAAATTGATGTCTTCAGAAATTCCTCAAACATGTAATTCCATAAGTAACATTAAAGCAGAACTAAGTACAGAAGATGCATCATTAAAATCACTTCAACATTAGAAAACTGCAGTAGGCTACATCTGTCGAACATTCATGTAAAAGCGCATTTAGAAACAGCTCTATTATAAAACACACACATGTTGAGTTTTCATGTTTTATGGGGACTCTCTATAGACACAATGATTTCTATACTGTACAAACTGTATATTCTCTCCCCATTCACTAAACCGACCCGAAACCTACCCATGATCACACACAACTTTCTGCATTTTGACATTAAAAAAAAAAAAAAAAAACACTAGTATGTTTTATAAGCTGTTTTCCTCATGGGGACCAAAAATGTCCCCACAAGGAAAAGGATTTCGGATATGAAATCCAGGACTGTCCTCGTTCGATATAGTGTGCAGTTTTCAACAGGACAGTCACTGTGTCTCTGACGGGTGTTTGTTTCCCGCTCTGGTCTTGTTCCTCTCGTGCGGTTGATGATGAACCCGACGGGCCGCGTCTTCCTCATGCTGGATCCCTGATGTCTTCTCTTCTTCTTTCTGCTCATTGATATGAATCTTCTGTTGCACCTGCAGATACGCCTGAACTCTGTACCGCTGGGTTTGGCTTTCACTGAAGTCAATGACTCGACACTCGTACGTCCCCTCGTCGGATCGTTTGACGCTAGATAGACGGAGTTTATGTGAGATGTTGCTGCCGACCACTTTTACCACCTTAAAGCAAATATAAAACATGGTTACTGAACGTTCACATTCTGCTAATTAAGTTTGGGAATTAAAGGGGGTGTATGTAGAGTTCAGAAACCTGTGTTATAGTGACACCGGTGGCCGTTATAGTGAACTGCAGCTCTCACTGCTCATGCTCACATAACGAACAAGAGACCTTAATATACTCACGACGAAGGTTTTTTTTAATTCTTTGCATATTGCAGTGATATACAGTTATCGAACGTGCAGATATCGTCCATGCTGCGATCAACGTTTAGATGAATCTGTTAATATGTGCTGCGCTTTCCTCTCAATAACAAAATAAACAAGAAAAACGCCAGCGGTGAGAAACAGTGGTTCATTAATCGCCTGATCATAGAGATTTGGATGTTTTCAGCAGATCTGAGATTTGACGACAAATGAGCTCATTAATATCACACTGTTAAAGTATATTTGAGACTATAGATTATATATCTGGCTATGTGAGATTATAGTTTTAATGAATCCCTTTTCCTTGCATGCCACATTGACATTACAGAACAGAATGGCTCTTTCATTATCCTGAACATTGTAAGTATTATCGTCATGTGTGAGCGATAGAGAGGCTCTGGGGAGCGTAACCGTCACATGCTTTTGATTTTCCCGGGAAAAACGTCCCGAATTCTTCATAAATCAGTCTACAGGCTTTTATAGACAAACTAGGTCAGGGAAAGTCACGTTTTTAAAGTGTCGCACATTAGCAATAAAAACGTGATTATATTCTTACATATAGCCCCTTTAAGAAAACGTGAATTGCAGAGGGATGCGATACAATGATCATGTTTATATGAGCACCGATTAATATCTATTGAAGAAACATTTCTTCTCACAAGACATATAATTAATGAATATCAATCAGGAACACAAAAGCACCACATTACTGTGTAGAATTACTAAAAAAATATTTAAAGAATAGGCAAGAGTGACTAGCATTTTAACAAGAGAAGCAAAACGTATTAGCATAACCAATAGCACCGTATAATTTCATAATAAAAACAACATGTAATAAATTACAAAAAAAATCCATATGGAAACCTGAACATTAAGTCAAATTAAGAGAAATTTCTAAATGCAAAACTCACACTTATTTTATTCGCCCCCATTGGTGTGTTTTCCAGTGGAATCACCTGTAGACACATCAAAACCAAAGCGAAGACTAATTATCTGGACAATTTGTGTCCAACTCTGTCTCAGGACATATGGCGTATGGTTTGTAAAATTGGCACATGATTAAAAAAAAACTAGGGCTGTCAAACGATTAATCGCATCCAAAATAAAAAAGTTTGTATTTACATAATATATGTGGGTGCACTGTGTATAATTATTTTGTATGTATATATATATATACACATGCATGTATATTCAAGAAAAAAATATTATTTATATATAAAATATTTATATATAATATAAATTATATATAAATCTATATGCAGTATATATATATGAAAAGAAATTCTTAAATATATACAAGCATGTGTGTGTATTTATATATATAAAATAATTATACACAGTGCACCCACATATATTATGTAAACACAAACTTTTATTTTGGATGCGATTAATCGTGATGAATCGCTTGACAGCCAAAAAAACAAAAAAAAAAAAAAAAAAAAACATAGCAACATATATTGGTTAAAACTCTCCAATGCTTTTTAGAAATATTTTGAATAAAATCTAATTATATTTATTAATATAATTTCTCCACCATCTTGGAATACCAAGGTATGAATGGTCCAAAAATCATAATACGCATACACTGGCTGCTTGGTAAAATAAAAAATGTATAGTTATATTTATAACAATGTTGGGTAGAGTTTACAAAGCATTCAAAACTGTGTTAAAGTGCAATTTTTATTCAAACAAACTGCTTGATAGTCTACCAAATCTTTAATAGAACGTAAAAACATTAGAACAAATCAAAGGTGAGTTTGGGCTTCCCTGATTGGCTGTGGACGCGTGTGGCTCCGCCCAGTCTCTGCTGTGTCTGGTGTACCACCACTGGATCTCCAGAGAGGAGGAGGATGAAGAAGATCCTCTGAAGGAGCACGACATCTCCACATCATCTCCAGGCTGAGACACCACGTCACGAGGAACCTCGGTGAAAAGAGCTGAAGAGAACGAGATACACACACCATCATTCCTCATCCATGCTCTCTATAGATATAACCACACCGCTTCTGCGGATCTCTTCACAGATACTCTCAGTCGTGTGTGTGTGTGTGCCTAAAGGTCTGACAGTCCAACGCTCATAAAAAATTCATTGCAAACAGGACTGGAGATAATTAAGCAGATACATTTGAGGACAAACAATATAATTCATTAGTGTAAAACACACACACACACACACACACACAGTCTGATGGCCTAAAGGGACTCATAATGACTCTGCCGTTCTCCACGTCTTCATTTAACTCTGCTATTTGTTTCTCACTGGACTATTGTTCAAGTCTTTCAAATAAGTGGATATTATTCGATAAGCTTCCCCTATAATCAATCTTTTTTTCTTAAAAGGCAATGAAAGTTGTAAACTGCAGTGAATTGTATTTATAGGTACGTTTTTGGTGTTTTGCAAAAACATACGTATGCGAAAAATAAAATAAATAATTAAAGGAGTAGTTCACTTTAAAAAAAACTTTCAAAGATCCAAGATGTCCATGTCTTTCTTTCTTCAGTCGAAAAGAAATTAAGGTTTTTGATGAAAACATTCCAGGATTTTTCTCCATATAATGGACTTCAATGGGGTCCAAACGGTTCAAGGTCCAAATGAGAGTTTCAGTGCAAACTGTTCAAAGGGCTTTAAACGATTCCAGATGATGAATAAGGGTCTTATCTAGGACCTTTCGAGTCATGACTCGAAAAAAGATTCGTTCATTTTGATAAACGAGTTCGAACAGGAGAGTCATTAACGCTCATCACAGAACAGACCAAGGCGACCATTTGAGCTTATAAAACAAAATTTTTTATCTATTTTTTAAATTATCGATCGTTTCGCTTGATAAGACCCTTATTCATCGTCTGGTGTCGTTTAAAGCCCTTTGAACAGTTTGCACTGAAACTCTCATTTGAACCGTTTGGACCCCATTGAAGTCCATTATATGGAGAAAAATCCTGGAATGTTTTCTTCAAAAACCTTAATTTCTTTTCGACTGAAGAAAGAAAGACATGGACATCTTGGATGACATGGGGGCGAGTAAATTATCAGCAAAAGTGAACTACTCCTTTAAGGAATAACAATTGCAGATAATTATATTATTAAATATTAGCCACATGCAAACCCCAAGATGTTGTGCACAGAAAACATTTTTTCCCATATTCATTATTTGTGTGTAAAACTACTTTCATGCACCATGGTTTAGGCATAATTGCTTAGAAATAATAGGGGATGTTCTTCACTATATTTTCCCGGCATAAAAAAACGTAGAAGATCTTTGATATTCTGGTAATTTAGCAGCGATCTGAAACTATTGCACTCAAACCTGCAGGATAGCACAACATTTTGAGTCTGTGCAACATTAGTTACACACACACACACACAAACATCTTTTCCCTTTGCGTCTTTGTAATTACTCCCTGATTTCTGCTCTTGTCTCTATAATGAGAACGTACAGTGTGACCATCTGTTGTCTGTGTTTGGAGAGAGAAAGATAGTTTCTCTGGTCATTAATATGCACAGTCTCTATCCGGTTGGTATAAAGGTGATTATCCCGAGTCTAAGAGGGTGCAGCGTTACAGTATGAGAGCTGATCTGACCAGTGCGAACAATGAAAAAGCTGTATATGCTCATCAGACCCACAGCATTTACAGGATCAGAAAACACACAACAAATATTTAACCATTGTTTTTAACACCATTTAAAAAAATAATAATTCATAAATGTCTCAGAAAATATTCAAAACTGTCATGAGAGCACAGATCAAACTTTCATTTACAGTAGCCTACACTCTCAGAAAAAAAAGGTACAAAAGCTGTCACGGGGGCTGTACCTTTTCAAAAGGTAAACTTTTGTCCATTTTAGGTGCTAAAATGTACATTTTAGGTGTTAATATGAACATTTTAGGTTCTAAAAAGTACATTTTAGTTGTTAATATGTACATTTTATGTCCTAATATGTACATTTTAGGTGCAAATATGTCCATTTTAGGTGCTAATATGTATATTTTGAGTGCTAATATGTACATTTTAAGTGTTAATATGTACATTTCAGGAGCTAAGTACATTTTAGGTGCTAATATGTACATTTTAGGTACTAATATGTACATTTTAGGTGATTAAATGTACTACTAAGGCACCAGTATGCAGCCTTTGGGTACAGCCCCAGTGACAGCTTTTGTACCTTTTTTTCTGAGAGTGTAGTTGGCAGGGTGGGTTTGTTCATTTGATATAGCCTACAAAAATTACAATAATGTGATTTTAATTTTAAGGAGATGATTTAGCCTACAAAAATAATTTCAGGCAGTGTTAACTAGGTGTTACAATCAAACAAAGCACTGCTAGAAAAAGTCAATTTAGACTAAATAGAATTTTAAATAAATAAGAGCTACTTTATAGTTAGGCTAGTCATATCTTGACAATTTCCCCCAGTCCTATATGTGTTTGATTTGGTTTGAGTTTAAACTGGTTCATGACCGATTTCAGCTAATATCATCCATCATAAAACATATTTTCTTTCCTTAGGAACTTTAAATCAGCAGGTTATAAGAAACTTTCAAAAACAATGGTTTCATCTCTATTCATAAATGTTGAGTTATGCATAAAATCAAGAAGAGAAGCTCAAAACTTCCTACGCTGTCTATCCAGACAGGATATATTTGCGTTATGAATCAGTTCGCGCATGTGGGCTATGATGCCCAGAAACGCAATATCGGTGGACAGCTGATTTGAGACACATCCACACTCAATACCGTTTCGTTCCCGCGCCTCGCGCCTACCGTTTCCAGATACGTGGTTGTCCACCGCCAAATTCGCGCTGATTTGGGCATAAATTCCCACCGAGTGTAAAATCCACAGCATCTCTCCAAACGAGCCCATGTCTGCTCTGCACTCATCAGATCTTCCAGCAGTGAACCGGCAGCTGAGCGCGCGCGTCGGTCGCGTGGGCGTCGCAGTCCCGGAGCGCGGAGGAACACACGCGGAGGTGCGCGTGTATGTGATGAGGTCAGGTGACTTATCAATTAGGCGGAGGGATATAAACCGCACTATCAGGTATGAGACCGATGAGGTCAACATTTTGACAATGTTATATAATCATCTACTACAGTTTTTGAGCAGCCTTCACATTGATATACTGGTGTTTTATAATCTTACAGACTCGCAACCATATCTAGCAGGTTCGTGAATATTAAAGATAGCTGTGAGGACAGAGGAAATGTGCACTTTTAAAAATACTGGCAGCAGGGTTAGGCATACTTATTTTTTACTGTAACGTTTCTGTAATTTAATTTACAGAATTTTACTGTATTCTCTAAAATTGCTGAATATGTTTTTGCCAACATGGAGAAGATGTTTAACGTGCAAATGAAGAGGGTAAGATCACTTCTTGATGGTGGCAGATCCCAAACTCTAAACAAAAACCCTAGAAATGAGTCCACAAAAAGACAAAAAGTCTTGTTTTATGTATCAACTAGCCTATATGATTTAATGCACATATGCACTCTCAATAGTATAGTAATAAAACATAAAATCATTCGCTCAGTTGTCTGTTAAATGTTTTCTTAACAAGTTTTTAGTTGCTTGAAAATTGCTGTCTCTGAACTTTTCAATCAGCGATGTTTGCTTTTAAAAGCAGAGTTTTATTGCAGATACAGTCTGGATTTTCTCTTGCTGTGAAGGACAAGGCCAACACTTTAGCATCTGCTAACCGTGTCAAATGAGGCCAAGAGTCTTTATAGTAAACTGTGGAAAACATGACTTGCTGCTCAAATAGCCTACAGAATATAGGTTTTCTGAAAGCTAATCTTTTGACTGCTTTATTGGGCCTTGATGCCTTTGGCTTTCGAGCCGAGAACCCTTGCCTGCATGAGCGGCGGCGGCTGATGTGACATTTTATTTTGGCCTCAGCACTTAATTGATCAATAGAATTGATTGGCCTGTGAGACTGAAATAATGAGTTAGTGATTAGATGGTAATGAAAAGGTTCAGGCGCCCACTGATGCTTCGGCAAGAGCTCATGCTGACAGGCTTAAGATGGAAATAACCTCGAAACAAACAAACAAAAAAAAAATAGCATTTAAAATGTCTGATTGAAAAAAGAGCTTTTCAAAAGTTTACACAATTTGTCTGAAGGAGTCATTGCTAATTTTTGCATGTGGCTGAAGCAAACATAATGTTTTAAAATGCACAAAGAAACAACTCCACTATGGGTGTGCAATTATCTTCCTGAAGGTTACAGACTTTTAACTTGTGATATTAGCTACTTTAAACCTTGTATGAATGTGGACAATGTTTGTACATAAATTCAAAGTATTATATGATCATATATTAGTATTAGGGCTGTGCAAAAATGAATTGCGATTAATCGCATCCAAAATAAAAGTCTGTGTTTCCATAATATATTTGTGTGTGCTGCATATAATTATTTTGTATATATAAATACACACACATGCATGTATATATTTAAGAAAATTTGTTATTCATATATAAAATATTTATATTTATAGAATATGTATTTATATACATACACAGAATTTAAGCGCAAATAATTCTTAAATATATACACGCATGTGTGTGTATTTATATATATACAAAATAACAGCACACACAAATATATTATGTAAACACAGACTTTTATTTTGGATGCGATTAATCGCAATTAATTTTTGCACAGCCCTAATCATTATATCACAGTTTTACATTTACATTTTTAGTAATTTCTTTATGTGCTTTTGTAAAAAGCGATTTTGCGCTTTTCTTTAAATATTTCCATTTAGGTTTAGTTTATTTTTATTTCAGTTTTAGTTTTAATTTATTTTCAGTTAATAATTTAAGTGCCAAGGCAACATTTTTTAGTTTCACTTTAGTTTGTTTTTCAACTGATATTTCATTTTTATATTATTTTTGGCTTTATTTAAATGAACGGAAATAGTTTTAAAGATTCAGTTACTAAAAATAACCCTTCTGCACACCATGCAATTTTGAGATGTGTGTTCTTTGTATCCAGACAATCACAAGAGGTCCGTTACAAGCACAAAACTTTCTGCTTGAACATTGTACTTATGTTGAGAAACACACGGCTGTGCCATCGATGTGTTTCAGGATGAGTGATGGCAGAGCTGGTGTGGTGTTTCACTTCTCTCTCCTCTCTTCTCTCTGCTCCTGAAAGCCACGGATGTCTTTTCATAAGTGCCAGCTGTGAGATGCCAAAACCTAGAAATGGCCAATAATAACAGATGCAAAAATGACAGAAAGAGAGAGTGAGGAGAAGTGAGGCATGAATGACAAACTGAAACGCTCGTTCCTGTCCTGCAGTTCCATATGAACTCCTTCTGATTAAAATGAATCACTGTAAAAAATGGCTGTGAAATCTACAGTAGATTTTACATTAGAATATTGTAACATTTACAGTAAGACCTTAAAAATCACAGTATTACAGTTGAAATCACAGTATAGTCAAAGCATTACTGTAAAAAGAAATCACAATTTAGCCACTATAGTACTGTAAATAGTAGTAAACTACTGTAATTTTCCTTTTTTTTTTAATCATGTGTTTCTTTGTACCCCTTTCACATGGACAGCCCCAGATTATTGTTCAGAATTCATTACCGGAATGTGATATAAATGCTCGATGGTGAACTTAAAGTTAAAGTTTAATATTAATAAATTCAAATGTGTTATGTAACTTTTGTATGGATGGAACAGAAAAAGTATTCATTCACAGTAACTTACTGGCTAATTGTTGCCAGTAAGTTACTGTAAATTTTACAGTAAATTTTGCTTGTGATGTAATTTAAGGAAATATTATAAAAACTACATCCGACTTTCAAAAATCTGCTCTGAAAGCGCTTTACTGATGTTTATGAAGAGCGGAAGTTGAGATGAAGTTTGTTTTGCACATTTCAATCATCTTTTGAAAAGTTGGCATACCAGTTTTAGTATTTTAATTCCTTGCAATGACTGCATTACTTCCTTTTTATGTTTTGCATTTTATGCAATGTATATATTTGGGTTGAATTTTCAACAATGAGCAAAATGAGAGCTATGAGAAAAAAATATGTTAAAAAAAAACAGAAGTAGCATTTAAAACACAATGCAATGATTAATTCAAAATACTGGGAAAACACCTGTGAAAAATACTTTCACAATAAATTAGGCCGAAAACACAAACCATATGAACCATACAACACCTTTTTTGCTTTATTAAAATATAATAATTAATATACAAATTAGGCAATAATTAATCTGAGGCTTGCTTTGTGCACAGCAAAAAAATGTCAGGAGATTTGTCACCATGGGTGTTAAAATTATCACTTTCCGGGTGAACATACAGGTCCATCTTTGCTAGTGTTAAAACAACACTGACGATAGTGTTTATTTTTTAAACACTGTGTTAGTGTTTCATTTAATCACTCAAGGTGTTGGAAATTATTACTCTTAAATATACACATTTAACACTTTATGGTGTTTAATCACACAACTCCAGTGTATTTTTTTATGTTGATTTAATGTTTATAATGTATACTTATTTTAAAATGGTAATGCAGATGAAGTTTAAAAAAATTAAACTTTTAAACCCGAAGATATTTTTCCAAAAACCAAGTTACTATGAATTTATTTTAACATTTATTAAAATTAAAATTTTTCAAACATACAATTGAATAAGACAACTCTCCAATGCAATACCATCTTATTATTTAAAAGAATAATTTCACTTTGAAATAAACACATCACTCTTTATTACTCTTAAAAAACTTTATTTCAAAACAATCCAAAAAGTCTGGGATCATAGTAGAATTCTGTTCACTGTAAAGTTAAAAATAAAGGCAAAATGTAAACAGTTGTTTCAAACAAACTATTTTTTTTATTAACGAACAAGCACGTTTACATTATAGGTTAATTTTTTAAATAAACGATGAATGCACAATATATGGATTTCTGTCATCAGAATTATATGATGTGATCAAATGGTGTTTAATACTTAAGTCCTGAACATATCAGTGAATGTGAGTCCTGTGTCAGTGAAGTTAATTCAGTACCTTTGACTTTGCAACAGTACAGCAGTGCTTGAGTCAAAAACATTCAGCAGATGAAAAACAGTAGCAGGATATGAGTGGATCAGCTGTATCCAGTCGCTAACAGTAAAGTTCAGTGCAGTTGTTTTACAGAGCAGAAAAGGCTGTGCAGATCCAACTTTAGTGAAAAATCGTGTAGTACTGGGTACCTAGAACACAAAACCAGATCATTTACACATTTGTGTTTCATAAATACAGCAAGTTTAGGGTGAAAAAAAGTTCAATCATCGACTCAAACAAAAAAACATTTTTGTTTGATTAAGACTTGAATTTACTGATTTCCAAGTAAATCGAAGATTTAATTAATAAAAAAAATGTAATTCTGTCATTAATTATTCACCCTTATGTTGTTCCAAACCAGTAAGAGTTTTTCTCATCTTCGAAACACTTAAAGGGTTAGTTCACCCAAAAATGAAAATTCTGACTAATTATTCACCCTCATGTTGTTCCAACCCCGTAAGAATTTCCTTCATCTTCAGGACACAAATTAAGATATTTTTGATTAAATCTGAGCTATCTCACTCCTCCATAGCCTTCTAAGGGATTGAAACTTGGCGCCAAGAAAAGTTATTAAAGACATTGTAAAAATAGACAGAGTGACTACAGTGGCTCAACCTTAAGTTTATCAAGTGACAAAAATACTTTTTGTATGCAAAAAAAAAAAACCAAACTAAAAATATTAAAATTAACTATTCATTTTCTTCTGCGTGGGCCTGAGCAAGTTAACAGTGTAACAGTGCAGCGCTTCTGTGTTGTACGTCACACACACACACAACCAGCATCGGCCAATAGTGAGCCTGTGTGTGACGTACAACACTGAAGCACTGTTACACTACGAGAACCATCTCAAGGCTCACAGAGAAGCATGCATAGTTAAATAAAGTCGTAATTTCTGTTTGTTTTTGGC